AATTCCCCGCCCCCCCCCCCCCCACACACACACACACACACACACAGTCCTAGCCCCCTTTATTTGCATGTGTTTATTTTTTTAACAGCAGATTTATTCCCCTTTGAGTAAACCTTACTGCCAGCTACAAATATGTTTTTTTTACTGGTAAATATTTCTACCCAGATGCTTTTGGGGCAGTGGTGGCTTGGTGGTTAAGGAAGCGGATTTGGGTCCAGTCAGTTTCAGGTTCGAGTCCACCAGATGCCAAGTTACCACTGAGGTGCTCTGAGAATGGCACTTTCCCCACACACTGCTCCCTGTGCACTTAAAGCTGCCCACTGTTCACTTTGGTGATGGGCTTAAAGCAGACGTCATATTTGGTTGTGTGCAGTGGTGTGTCACAATGATAAGTAGTTCACTTTCTGGGTGAGTTTCCCTGGTTCTGTACCCTACATTATAAAAATCATAAAAATACAATTAAAAATGACCTGTGCATCAAGATTTTTAAAGTTTTGTATGTATTTCTTATGCTAGCTAGACCATATACTCATAATGTTAAAATATATAGTATTATTTTAGGTGTTGATCATCTGAGGCTTTTTGAGTTGTGTGAAAGAAAACTTAAAACATATTGGAGAACACTGTCTTTGTGTTTGAAGGGCAAAAAAATGTAATTAAGATACATAATGTATGTATTAAGATACATAAGTTACTAATACATTTTTTTTTGCATCCTCGATGCTTTATCATCCATTTTCTGTTATATAGGCTGGGAAAATCAAATAAAGAAACCCAGCAATCCTTTATATTTAATTAAATTAAATATCTAGTAGAGTTGTTTTTCCTCAGGAAGTGGCATACCAAAACTATTTTTAAAAATTAAATTAAAAATCAATCATGTTCAGTTTACCATATATGATATTTGATGGGTTTAACCCCCTGTAAATCCTATGCAACCAATTTAAAGTCTCTTATTTTAGTTCTGTCAACATTGACTGACATCATATTGGTTTATCTTTTAGCTGCATCACTTTTTTTTTTTTAAAAACTAAATTTTGTAGGAAATAATCCTAAAAGTTCTCTCTGTCAGCAACACTGCTCAGAAGTAACATCTTCCACCATGCCTTGTCTTGTGGTTTTGTGTTGTTCAAGAGCCTTTTTGTTTTTACAGTCGTGGGTGTGGAAGAAAAAGGAAGGGGACACCTGTGAAGGTGTGTGATCGAGCATATGTAACCGAAGATGAAGAGGAGGAGAGCATGTCGGAACACAGCTACAGTCCTGGTATATATAGTAACACAAAAACATTTGTCAACAGTGTGTTGGTATTATTACTGTCCTTTACTCAATGGCCTGGAGTTGTTGTTGATGAAGTTGTGAAGATTAAATGCCACATTTAGTCATTCTGCTCTGTCTTAGGTGATGGTCAGTACCCAGAGGGTGCAGAGGACCGCCTCCCTCCACCTGGCAGTCCATACTACCTGCCTGATCCCACCCAGCTCTGGTAGGGGTGACTAACATTTCAAATTTAAAATCACATACTTCTCCTTTTTTGGATCACTAATGGAATGTAATATATTTTAAGTGTGCCTGAGTTGGGTGAGGAAGGAGCGAGTGGTGTTCGAGGGCCTGTGCTTTTTCATCCACCACCTAACTGCAGGATTCGGGAAGTGCACTGTGGCACACAGGTGCGGTTGGTAGTCATAGCGATCCGTGACATCGCCAAAGGAGAGGAGATCACGGTAGATTACAGTCTGACCGACTGGGGCGAGAATGCACTGGTGAGTTACTTAGGTAACAAGAATCCAGTTAACATCCTCTTCCTATAATTCTTATATAATTGGCTTTTTTTTATTGTTGTTGTTTATTTGTTTTTGGAATGCATCACCAGGAGGATGAGACTGGCCCACACCCGCTGTCTCTCTCTGTTTCCGATTACCTCACCCCCTCCTGGTCCTTGTCGCCCTCATCCTCCCCACTGACCCACTCCGAACCTAGTGACTCTGACCGAGAGGAGTACGAAGAAGAGGAGGATGATGACGAGGATGATGATGAAGAAGAGGAAATTGAGGAGATACGGGGCCGGATGCTGCGTCGACGCAAGAAACGCAAGCTGCCACCTCCTGTTAACTCAAAGAAAAAGGTGCCGCCCGCCTCCTCCAGAGGACCCGGGCGCCCATGCTCCTCCTTTTCCCGCCCAACACCTGTTTCACCCCAAGTCAGGTCCCCGTCTGCAGTCAGTCCCCTGGCACCTCCAACCACCAACATCAACAATAACATTAACATCAACATTGGCAGCTCCAGCAGTGCCACCGTTAGCCGGCGACAACACTGCCCATACTGCGGTCGCCACTACCGTTCTCTGGCACGTCACCTGGAGAAACACCACGCCAATCAGCCTGAAGTCAGGACAGCCATGGAGCTTGCACATCTTCACACCCATAGCTCATCAAATGGCAGCGCCTCAAACTCCAACCCCTCATCGTCCTCCACTTCTGCTACTCATAGTCATTCCTTCGCCGTCCCTCAGCCTTCTGCCTCAAACCCCACACCGCCCCCCCTCTTCTCTCGAGAGAGGGAGTCCCCAGCCACTCGTTCAAGCACAGGTGCTGTCTCTTTCTCCCTGTCTCTTTCACCACCTTCTTCTGCTCAAGCCGCAAATTTGAAGAAAGGACCAAGCTTATCAATTCCTGCTACAAAACGTCCAACCCCCCCTGCATTAACCAGGGTCAAAAGTCCATCACCGCCACCACCCGCTCCGACTCCTAAGCGGGGTCGGAGAATGAAAAAAGAGAAGCAAGAAGAGCAACAGAAGGTAGAGGAGGAGATTCCAAAAAATCAGGAGGAGCTGGTTCCACCTCCAACTCCAGAGCCAGACATAGATCCAGAGGAAGACCTGGAGCTCAGTGGAGGAGAAGAGGAGCCACCGGAGGAAAAAAATGGAGAGGTCATAAGGTGAGGTTGTTCAATTGAACTGTTAACACTGTTGATCGTGTCAGTGATTGAAAGTGTCATCATAATGTTTCTATTTTTCTGTTTTTTCAGCACAAACAGACATCACACATCTCCACTCCTGTCGTCTCTCTCCTGTCTTGTCCTCTACCTCCGTCATCAGCAGCACTCATCTTTCCTCTCCTTAACTCGCTCTCCACACTCAGCTGAGGCCTGGCGCCTCCTCTGCCATTCAAGCCTCTCGCTGCTTATTCTCTACAATCGCCACCGTGAATGTGAGGTAGCCAAATTGACCCTCCAGGAATATCGCAACCGTACCAAGCCACAGACTAGCCCCACTTCCAGCTCACCCTCAGGCATGGAAGCCCTTCTCTCCCCCTTTGAGCATCAGGTCCTTTGTCATCTCTCGCGTGCTGGTGTTATAGGCAAGCGTAATCGCGTTCAGCCTCTTATTCTCCCTCCACACTGTGAGTCCTGCTTAGACCTGCTTATTCAAACCAGCCCAAATGTAGGCGTAGACCCAGAGAGCCCCTTCGTCTTTTCCAGACCCTACCATTCTCCGGCGACCCCTCTTCGAGGTACCGACCTCCTAAGAAACCTAGCTCGGGTCAGCGGGGCCAAAAACCCCGGAGCACTGACGGCAACACGAGCGCGGCGGCAGGTAGCTATTCTTACTCAGCTGCTGCTGTTGGACGAAGGAGATGGACAGAGTGGAGCAATAAAACGTTTGGAGAACTTTTTGGAGCAAGAATACCATGTGACCCAAAACTGCTCCAGCATCATACGTGATCCTGCACTAATGGGACGTGTGGGCCGCGTGGTCCTTTATGGAGAAAGAGAAGGTGTTCTCTTCAGAGGTATGAGCCTGCAGGACATCTGCCTCGAATTGGACGGTGAGGACAGGCCTTATTTGTTCTTTCATTTGTGATAATTTTCCATCCCTCATTCTTCAGGCAGAGATATGTGCTCAATTTATGTTAGGTTAGGAGGGCACCCCTCATTTTGGGAACCACTGGTCAAGCATTTGGACTGCAATAGTTACATTAATAAACACTGTTGAAGTCACTATGCGGAATGTATAACCATTAAAAAAAACTGTCAATGGTATGTGAATTAGTTTTTAATTGGAGTTTTGTGATTATGTTTTCATTGCCACAGTGATGTCAGGGAACTCAGCTGACTCCTTTTCGGAAGAGTCTGAGCCAGAAGAAGAAAAGGAGGAAGTCAAAGAGAAGCCTGAGGTGGTGGTGAAGAAGAAAGGACCAGGTCGACCGCCACGGAAGAAGAAAGCACCCAATCCATCTCCAGTCACGCCGTCAGTGCCAAATGCCCATAAGAGGCGTTGCGTGCCACCTAAATCAGGTATCTGTCATCCAATGGCTGCTTGTGACTTTTTAATCAGTGTATTCTCTTGTCTAACAGTTTTTATCTAAACCTGAAAACCTGTGTCACAGGGAAGCGTGGTGTGTTGAAACGACCCTGGTCGGAGGCGGAGCGTGTAGCTGTAGAGACTCACCTGAAGAGAAACCTCATGGAACTGCGGGTCCCTGCAAAAGCAGACTGTGAGCGTTGTCTGGAACTCTGCCCTCTGCTGGTGAGCAACCAGCGAGACTGGAGGGCGATCAAGTTTTATGTTCACAACCGCATCCAGCTGCTAAAAAAGCAAGGGCGACGGGAAAGTGCTGCTGCTGTTTGTTAAAAGTTAAAAAAAAAATATATATATATATATAAATCTAATCAATGAGGTGTGAGACAATGTACCATAGTGTACAAAACAGCAGCAATTGCAATGAAGGAGAAAAACTCTCAGCCATGGTGCAGAGCAGCCCAAGGTGCTTGAATATTGTAATGGACAACATAGTGGTTGTTTCAGTTGAGGATCATTTGTACTCAGTGTTGGGATCCACTTTGTCTTCTTGGTGTGTATTTTTAAGTGGTTGGACAAGACATACCTGTAAGTGTGGACATGAATTCTGATACAGTGAGCTTTGGGGTTTTTTTATATAAAAAAGATGTGTTTTTAAAACATTGCCTTTCCTAGATAGAAACAAAAACAAAAGACTGTTAGGAGACATGGAGGAAAGAAGATGTGGTCTCTGTAGCAATGCTGACCTCTAGAATACATCGGTCAATACAGGACTGTCTTGTGTGAAGGTCAAGCAGTTCCTTCCCTAGACCGCTGGTCACCAAACATCTTTTTTTATAAACTTGGGAAGATTAAAACCAATTGTTTGGAGAAAAAACAAAACACCACAGATAAACTAGGTCTTTAGGATTAAGACTTGTATAAACTTGTATAGATTTTGCTGAACTCTACCCACTCCACATCACTCAACTGACAAGTGTGTAAAAAAAGAAAAGTGTTCTCCAAAGTCTTGGACCATGATGCATACCTCTTACCATGATCATTATTTGGTTCAGTCCGTATCAAGGCACGTCTACTTGAATTTATTGATGTTTATTTAACAATCAACATACAGTCACATTCACAATGCAAATACTTCCTAATCTATGAAAAAGTTATACATTAGTGATGACAAAGTTAGTATTGTGTTAATGTGTACATACTGTAAATATTCTCTATCTATTAAAGTGTACCACAGTTGCTGTGTTTTCTTAAACTGGGCGGTCAAGAGTAATTTTACACACCGCAGACGGTCATTGCTTCAGGCCTCCATTTTGAAATGTAATTTGACATGAAATACACAGACCACTCACAAATATTTGATTTTGTACATACAGGCAGAAAAGACTACAAAAAAAGTTTAAAAAACTTGTTAAAAAATATTTCTAAGAGATGTTCCCTCATCTTCAGTCTACATTCATTTGTGACATCCCTAGTAACCTCTAGTAGCACGTAAGCAAGAGGAAAAATTGAAAATATTGTTCCCCTACACAGGTGTGGGAAATCTACTTCATAAGCACACAGATGTACAAAAAATCAAAATCTAAAATAGTAAATATAATCGTGATTAATGTGATGGTGTAGTTACAAAGAGCATAAAGAAAACATCACCAGCTTGTGTAAAAACAAAAACTAATTCTTGCATAAAAGTGTTTTTGCTGCAGTTTCACTTACATTTTAACAACATGTACATGTCACAAACAGTATAGAATCATCAGCAGAACTGCATTCAATTATATTTAATCATCAGGCATTGTCTTCACAACTACTTGCATCCTTAACTGCCTTGTGTAAGATCATCATTGGTGATATGTCCTTTATTCCAGGATTGAAAAGAGGAAAGACTTCACCTGTGAACTTTATTTCCATAGACGCAATCTCTGTTTTTTTCTCTACATCAAAGAACATGAGATTTTTACTGTCACAATTCAAATACACTCCAACAGTCTGAAGTCTCA